TTATATATATATGAATTAATCGATACTACCGCTTCAAGATTAATCGTTAAGTAGGTGCTAAAAATATCTCTTTGGCTAACAACGTTGTGTAACTTTTACTATAACAACATGTTTTTTATCGTTCTTTTTGCGTTTTCGCAAAAAAAATAAATACATAAAATAAAATAAAAAAATTTTAAAAAAAAAAATTACCGTTCTTTTTGTGTTTTCCCAAAAAAAATAAAATAAAATAAAACCTTGCATGTGGTAGATGCTACTCTTGAAAATGCACCTTCCACCTTAGCACAAGACGGTAAATTACGCGCGATACTATTTTTGATTATGATGATTTGTTTACGTACTTGATAATAGAGCTAATGACATTATTTCTTATGAGGTTCGTCATTATAAGTTCGCATCTCTTAATAGGACGTCATCAATATGTTTATTCTTAAACGTGCCTATTTTCGTGTTCATCATTTTTTTAAGTTGTAATTGGTCAACCTTGATTTAAGAGTATAATTTATATACCTCTTATATGGTTTAAAAAGAAAATCCCGAAAACTTTGCTTGGAATGATTGCCTCACAAAAAAAAAGAAAAAAAGAACAAAAAAAAAATGTCGTTCTTAAAAAAATAATAAAAAAAAATATAAAAAATTTAAAAAAGAGAGTATGATACAAAAAAAATATATATAATGAATGATAAAACCGAGAAAATGATTTAATTATTTCTTGGATTTTACATTTGGAGGCCATCATTCTTTTTAAACAAATAGTAATATATTATCCTTTAAAGATAAGCAATATGAGAATCATAATTAAAAAAAAAAACGATATTGATCTCTATTGTAATTTAAATGATCAACAAATACTATAGTATATTTGATCATTTTAAGGAGTATGTTGGGGTTGATTAATATTCCTAAAATTTGAAGAGCATTTTCAATTCAACTTTCTTGACTTTCTCTTCTACCTTTTTCAAAAACAATTCATTTAAAGTACAATCCTTAGATGATTACCTTGTTGAATTTAACACAAATCATAACATTCCATTAATGATTGTTCGTGAATTTTTTGACATTCTTCATCAGCAAACTTGCTTAAAGTGAATTCGTATTACAAGGATTGAAAAAAAAAGAAATAAAACAATCATTTTGACTTTGGTTCTTTGTTTGAATGCTTGGCAGAAAAGGTTGAAGTGGACGCGCTCAATTTCTCGTGATACACATTACTAGATCATCTTCCACATTCGCATACTAGTCCAATCATGGGTGACAAAGCAGCATTGGAGAAACTTAGAGAGGAACTCCAAAACCTAAAGGCCCTACGAGAAGAAGAAGCCCAAATGAAGGCTCATAAAAAAGCAGAAAAGGCTAAAATAAAAGCAGAAAAAGAAAAGAAAACATTTTGCAAGAAAAAGCAAGAGCCGAAAGAGTAGAGGCCTTGGAGAAACTTGTCCTTCGAGTTAACTAAGGGAATAAGTACTTCAAATATTATCTTGCACCACAACCTAGTGGAAAGACTCTCCCAGAAAAGTTCTTCACTACGGAATTGCCAACCTTTAAGGTTACAGACAATCCTAGAACTCACTTAATGAGCTTTATTGGAATTATGGCATTGAAAGGGGTTGAGCAAAGCCTATATGCATGTAATTTTCCTCTTTCATTGGACCCAACTTCTAGATAATGGTTTTATAACCTCAATTCAAAACAAACTTCCACATGAAGTGACGTTATAAAAGAGTTTTTAACCCAATATGGAGATAACATTGAGCTCACAACTCCCTTGCGCGATCTCAAATTGCTTAAGCAAAGGGAAGAAGAAGGCTTCATTGACTTCTTTTCAAGGTGGCGATCAAAGGTTGCTCTTATTCCACAAAGACCTCCGGATCATGAACTTGTCCCAAAGTTCATAGATTATATGTCTCCACCATACAAGTGCCATTTACAATACCTTGGTTTAGACACATTTCAAAAAGTCTATATTGCGGGAACATTAATTGAAAGGGACTTGATAAATGAAACCATGAATCATATAGATGGACTTGATTTTTAGAGGATTTTACCTACGTTAGAAACGGACAAAGCTCGAAGACGCAATCTCAAGAAGTTGTCAACAATTCAAGATGTAGCACCCTAGGTCTTGTTTTGTTTCTTTCCTTTGTTTTTTATGATAGACTAAGAGATTCATGCTGTCGAATCTACTTATTTTGTACTCTCATTAATGAATAAAAAATATATATTTTCAATTACGTCTATCTTGTTCTCTTTTCAATCTCTTTATTGTTATTGACTTGAATTAAATAAAACATATACATATAAACATGCAATATCAAAAGGCATACATACTTAATACTTTAAAAATCTTGATGAGCTTAGGCTTACAAGATGTATTGAATGAAAAGAGGCCCATCTTAGGCCCATAAAGAAAGGATATGATGATTTCACTAACACATGAGGCAACTTGAAATTACATAAATAAAATCCAATGTTCTTAACCTTACAGAAAATCCATCTTTTTGGAAGCCCTTTTGAGCTTCGTCAATTGAGCCTTAGTTATTCAACCTACATTATTCCATACCTTGGGATGGGAATGGTACAAAGATAGAAATAGGAAATTGGGGGAACAAAACATAAGAGGGGGACACAAAGTTAGTCTATACACAAAAATAAAGAAATCATTCTAAACCCAAAACAAAACTTGTCGAAAAAAAAGAGAGAGAGAGGACAAGGAAAAGGCACCTAATGTAGGACGTTGCCAACCAAAGCAGAAATTTTAGTTTTAGAAGCACCAAAAGTAAGGGATTTTGGGAGTATACTTGAGCCTATCCATTCTTCATAACCCCAAGCCTAGCCACGTTACAACCTTGGAAAGGCCCTCCTTGAGGTAGACCATAACCATCTACCAAAATCATCATTCCATGAAAATATGGCCAACCTTAGGCCTTTGCACATATGGACCAACTATTGAGTAGTCATGCCCATATATAAAATGCATGAAGTGTTGAGTTATGATTTCAAAATCATAAAAAAAAGATCAAATTATTTTGATGATTTGATAGTCATTGGCTTGATGACACCAATTTAGTAAAGCAATCGAATTATGCTAAATTCACTAGTACATAATTAACCTTAAGTAACACCATAAAAGTGTTACATAAAATGGTATAAGTGTTATTATAGACAATAGGTAACACTTTAGTGGGTGATACATCTGCCCATGTTACCTAAGGTCTTATGTAACACTTTGGGTAATATATGGTAACACTTTTAAAAGTGTTACTATAAAACATCTTATGTAACAATTTTCATATTATTAGTATCATTTTTAAAGTGTTACTTTTTAATTCTTATGTAACACTTAATTATCTCTAGTAACATTTTCCAATCATATAGTAACACTTTATCATACTTTATGTATCACTTTTGCAAACAAATATAACACCTTGTTGATTATTAGGTAACATTTTACAATCATCTTTTGACATTAAGTATCACTATATTTGACATTATGTATCACTTGTATATTAAAATGTACAACCATGACACAAACGTGTAATTAACATATACCATAAACAATAATTTGAATTGATAAAACTTCATATATCCTTCAAAAAAAAACCGTAAACACCAATTTTTTATCTCGCTAAACAATCAAATAATAAAAAATAAAAATAAAATATCAACTTTGCCACCAAATTCCAAACAGAATAGGCAAAATCACATTCAACGTAGTTGCAAACAAACATCATTAATAAGTGAAGACAGCAGCATCTTGTAGCTAGCTCAGTAGTAGTAGCAGACATCAATTACAACAGCAGATCACCGTAACAGCAGTAGTCAGCAGTAACAATAACAGCAACAATAGCATACAACTCTTTGCTTTAGACAAGGCATCATGAAAAGAAAGACAAGATTTCATCCACCAATGCAATCTCATATAAGGAGTTGCACATGTTCTATCTTTAGCCATGTTGAGTTCTTGCACACACAACCAAAAGAAAATGAACAATCCACTTAGCTAAAAAAAAACCAACTTGTTACAACTAATTTATGCTAGAAAAGGATGCTGCACCAACTGCTTACATTCTTACATGATCCAATGGCGACACTAAACCAACTGCTTACATTCTTACATGATCCATTGGCGACACTGAACCCTCTATAACCTGGTTATTCAGGATAATGATTGTCTACATATAATGTGATAGCCATTAAAGCTTCATTTGCACGAGAGGTCAAGAAACATATACATAAATTAATGAGCTAAGTAATTGAGACCTTAACTAACATATTGATCCTGGACACAAAATAATGTAGAGTTATTATGCTAGAGAAAACCCAGAACATAAAATTTATGCATCAATTCAAACAAAATATAGAATAGAAAAATTTTCATAATCGTTCTTTTTCTATTCACGACTGTCTAAAAATAACATTCCAATTATAGAATTATTCATGTTAGTATATACTTATCTATCATTAACCAAGCCTTGTAACATTTAAAAATCCAAAATATCCTAACCTATACAACCAGATCAAAATAACCAAATTAATAATAGTCTAATAAGTATATGAAATTTTGACTCTAAATTTAATATAAATGAGAGTATATATGAAAAGAAAGCATACCCATAAACACTCAAATTGAGTAGCAGCAACTCAGCAACTACCATTATCAAACAACACCACAATTTCATTTTCTTCTCCCACTTTCTCTTACTCCACTTTAGCATATCCACACATAAATAAAGAAAGAAAATTTTTATTTATCTAACAAAATCAGACGAGGAGACCCATTGTTATTTTACCAGCCAATATTCCTTTCCCTCTTTCTTGCCATAGAACCCTTGCTGAAACCCAGCTACTTTTCACACTTTACTTTGTCATACCATTCAATCTCCCTAGAACAAGAAATAATTGTTTTAAGTAAATAGTACAAAGAAAATAAATGTTACTACATTAAATTTCTAAATGGCAGGAAAGAGAGTATTAAAAATACTGATATCACAGCCCAAATGGTAAAAAATTATACAATGAAAGTTAGAACTAAGAGTATAAGAGTAGACTTTATATATACTTTCAACAAGTCACATGCATTTAGGAAGTTCTCATGGCAATATGGCATCATAAGAGCCATGATTAATGTCGGAAATAGCCCTGGCATCCGACCTGTACCTAATATCAGGTTGTCAGGCTACAAATAACAAACTAGGTGATCCTCATCATCTGTGGGAATTGGAAGAATTAATAAATGGGAAAATTATTTCCAGAAAATATAAGCATCAAAACTGCAGCATCAAATTTACAGAATTAATATAAGCCAAAAGTGGAATTTTTTTTAGAAGATATAAGCATCAAAACTGAAAAAATGGAAAGAAATAAAATGAGAAATTATTTTCAAAAAATATAATCAATTTCTTTTACTCACCGTATCAAACATTCCCACTAGTCCATAGTCCGCCCAAACCTTGACCAAAAGAAAAAAGGCAAAGAGATAACGGAAAAGTCTAGAATGAAATGCATGATTCATAAAGCTCAAAAAATATAAGACAGTTTAGGTTTGAAAGAAAAACGAGAGCTATATAAAGAACAAGTACAATGATTCATGATATGTATGCAGCCACTATACAATCAATTTGGAGTTATAAGGTAAAATATCCCTTACACCAGGACAAGCATTGAACTACAAAAGAGGCTATAAAATTCACAATTTCTAGAAGTACTTACTTTTCAATAGCAAATATATAACAAACAAGAGATGCTCTCTATATTCGTAGAGGGGGGGGGGATTTGGGGTAATTTAAGTATAAAGTCATTTTTGTTTTAGTTAAATTAAATGCTCTTTTTTTCTTTCCTCATAAAACTCTTTTTTATGAATTCAAATGTGAGAGTTGAATACAGAATTAAGGCATGAAGACAAATTAATTATCTACATTGAACTCTTACCTCCAAAACTTGTTGCTCACCAATCCACTGTAGGTAAGAGCACGATGAACTAACCAAATAGTCAAGGTATTGCATAATTATATTTGCAGCCTCTGTCTTGCCTGTTGTACTCTTGTATCTAACTAATATGGATTTGCTTGCATTAAGTGTCATTCATCACTGTTTTGTAGAAATGAAATGTGAGTCTAATTCAATAAGATTTGAACTCAAAATGGTCATATATATATATATATATATTATGTATATATATATATATATATATATATATATATATATATATATATATATATATATATATATATTATGTATATATATATATATATATATAAACGTAAAATTGGTCACATATATAAAATTGGTCACCTCATTCTATAATGTTAATTGTCCAAGTCAAAAATATCAATCAACAAATAATTCACAATATAATCACCAGGATTAACAGAAAAACCATCAAGATCTTGTTTGCTAAAAGCTCATTAATTAGTCCATTTATATCAAATAGAGAATTGACATCTTCAATGATAGGTAAAATGTCATAAGTCCATAGTTTATGAAATTATATCGGAAATTTTCTCAAATTTCTAGAATACAAATTCAATAAATCAAGGAATTCCATAAATCAATGTAGATATTCAGCCATCACTTAATTCGACTAACATCGTCAAAGCTTGACACAAGTATTGACGCTAGAATGTTAATTAACATAAACAAATAAAATTAACCCAATTCAATAATTAGAGATTAATACATAAAAAAATAAAAATAAAAAATAAAAATAAAAATAAAATAGCAAACCTAAGAGTGGTGGTTTTGACAGTAGCAGGAATAGCGGCATGCATTAGATTGAATATCAAATACCATTCCTCCGATTATAACTAGCATTGCCTTTGATTTCTGCCCACAATTACTTGGATCATTGACAAACTTAAGAAGATTAAATTCAGAAAAGAAAAATATAAACCTTGAATTGGTTAGATTAGTCAACAAAGAGTAAATTACAAGGTAAATCAAATCAGCAATAACTGAAAAGAAGAAAAAACAAAAATCCCAATTTCATCAAAATACTTCGACCAATTCAGATGCATGTAAAATTGAGTATGAAAATAGTGAAATTAAGCATGTTAAATGGCAAATTAAACGTCAAATTAAGAAAGAATCAACAAGATTTGAGAGAAGGAATTGAAACCCTAAGGTTAGCTAACTCAAATTCTTGTTAATAATGGAAAGGGAGAGGGAACGATGATGGAAGCCGAACCTAAACTTTAAGATAGAAGCCGCCGATGATGGAAGCCTAGAGGTGCCAATATCTATCTTTTCCTCTTTGGAGGTGGCAATCACTGGAGCACGGAGTGTTTTATACATCTTCGGTTTGGAGCACAGGTTGCGATGGAGGTAGGCTGTGGTGAACGGGGGCTATAGTGCAGCACCAGGAGCGAGAAGGGGGTAGCGGTGAAAAAGAGGTGTCGAGATGCAAATTCAAGAGAAAGAGAAAGGTTGATGGAGAAACCGAGAAATACAAGGGAGGAAGATAGGTTGTGACTTGTGAGGGTCTTTTTTTTATATATATATTAAATTAAGTTTTACAACTACGTGTTATAATCAAGTGATACCTAATATTAAAGTTATGCTATAAAGTGTTACATAACATTAAAGTGTTACAAAAAATGTTACCTACTATCAAAATGTTACAAAAGTGTTACTTAGAAATCAAATAATCGTGAAATTTTTAAAATATTACCAATTGATGTTACTTAAGCCCAACTTTGTAGTAGTGATTCGATGTTTTCCATTTCTTTTGCCAAGAAAACTGAGATGACTATCACTAAAAAAAAACAACAATCATCTTATTTTCTTTTAATAATAGGGCTATTTATTACCAAAGTAATTCAAGTTCTATATACATTGCCTAGAAAGAAAAAAAGTTAATACAATAAATTGATTTGATATATCGACAGCCTCGACGTCAACTCTAGATGTCTTTTACAACTCTTGAGAATTGGTCTTCTCACTTATATGTCCGCCTGCGAGGGATATCTCCATCTTCTTTAAGCGAGGAACATTGATTGAACATGATCGCTACATGAAAAAATGATCGTCATCGCTATCACATGTATTAACGTATACCTCACTGTCAAGTCATCACGATGATTCAAATATTAAGTGAATAATCCTTGTTTTTCGAAAACATGTCTAATTTTCTTTCTTTATGCTTCTATGGGAAAGTTGGATTCCCTTTCCTTTTTATACAAATCCATCTTTTTTGTTCATTTCTTTTATAGGGGGTAAGTCGGGATGATCCCTCCCATTTGGCAACTAAAATACTAAAAAAAAATAGTACAATTTTTCGCTCTTTGCATTAAACTGGGGGCTAAAAAGCCAGGACATCCCCACTTCTCTCTATTTACAGATTTAACACGCTATTTATGATAAGAAATTAATGTCATGCAAAGATTATTACGAACCATCTTAATAACTTTAAATGACGAAGGGAAGAATACCACTTCCTATTATTTGGCCAAGATAATTACTTATGTTACTTGATCAAACAATTCATGATAAACATATGCAATATTCCACAAATTAAAAATACAAACCTTGAGGCTTCAAATGAACATGAGAAATATCCCCTAACATGTGTATACATAAGTTGCAAAAGCCACCTAAGGTTACACTTGGGGGCTACAAAAATATAGGTCTCACCTCAACTTTCATTTCAAAATATGACCATATTCTGGAAAGTGATTCGAATGAGTTTATAAATTTTTCTAACACTCCATCAAACCTAAGTTTGTTAAATATTCATTTAAAACTACGGTACTTTAATTGGAAGAACTTCACTTTCAATTATCAAAGTATGACAATGATGACAAACACTAAAAAGGGAGAGATGACAAAATCGGATATACAAACGTTTGTTCACATTTTCATATCTTTGTTGAAATAAGTTGCAAATTACAACTTACCTTCATCAATCTTGGACAAAAAAGTCACGCTCAATTACGAGCTAGACTTTTCTTTCCATTTTGGGTCCATTTTTGAAAATAATATGATTATGTATTTTGCCTACTAGAAAAAATTGCTTTTCAAAACAAACTTTCATTGGACCCTTTTAAAATTTTGAATTCTAGTTCGAAACAACATGTTTCTAATAAAAATATTATTCAAAATTTCCTTTCTGAAATTTTGTTTTCTCAAATAAATAAATTTTCAGATTCTCAATAACCGTTTGGATAATACATGTATATACATAAATATTTCCAAAAGGAATGAATTAAGATTCGACTTCTTTTTTACTCGAACTTGTTCTCGCTTAGTTCTCCCGCGAATATTGGCTAAGGGATGGTAAACGAACCACCTACAAGACCAAAATCAAAGATTGATAATAACAAAGAAAATATTTGATGTTCTAAATCAACTTTAAGAATAAAATCACCGCAATAATCTTTACAAACGTCTAGACATTAGGTAAGATTACTAAACCTTGAACATAATTGTTTTTGGTTTGTAAACAAGCAAAGAACTAACTTGCTTTCTTGAACATGACTTTAACTAACATGCAAAAGCCATGTCATTATCCTAAATATCTCAAAAAACAAAAATAGGATATATACATAGGTCCATCCCAATAGCATTATTATATGGATCGCCTAAACAATAGCAAGTCATTAGAATTACCCCAAAATGGGGGCTCCAAGAATTGTGAAATAGCACGCATAACCCGACACATGGGGGCTCCAATATCAACAAAAAACAAAATGAGATATTTATGCCATTCGAGCTACTTTCGAGAATCGCCTAAACTACAAAGGGTTTATGTAGATCTCGAGCCTTACGATTTTCAAACGTATCACAATGATTTAATAATCATGTTGTTCCTTTGAAAACTAAGTTTGCAACTAAACTTGGCCATTAAACATGTTACATACTCAAGCTATTTTCAAGTTTAACTTCAGACTAATCTTAGTGCATAATTGTTGTTCCAATACTTCAATTTACTCTAGAGATTAGAGAGTATGATTAGTATAGAGCAAAAGAAACAAAATCATGATGCATAAAACATACTTGCTGATACAAAAGTTTAGTACTCAATCATTCATCATGAAAATTTTATCAAGACACATTATTTCATGAGTTAGAATGTAAACAAAAGACTCCTAAATTCTAAATTAAGGAGTCTTCATTATTATCCATTGTTCCACACATTAGAATTTCGCAAGGGGGATAACATCTACTTTCTCGAGCTTCAAAACAATGAAAAAAATTCAAACTCAAAAGAAAGAATTCAAAAGTAGCAAGAATAGAAGAAATAATTTGAACAACATTTCATTTTTCCTCTTACTTGTTCTAATGAATGACCAATATTACTAGACTTAGCAAATTTCTTTGTTAAAACTATGAATGGTCAAAAAACAATTTAAACACACTAGTTTAATCGTTTTCAAGATCCTAGTTGTTATCATAATAAGACGAAACACATGATTTCTAGAACCATTTCAAGCAACATGAAAGGGTCTAATCATTAAAAAACAAACAAGTCATCGAAGTCACCCAACATTGGGGTCCACAATATTCGATAATATAAAATGGGGCTCAAAAGCCCGAAGTATAGCTAAACTGCTCTAGTTCGATGATGCCTTCAAGAATTCCCTAAACTAACTATTTTTATGCAAATATTGAGATCACAGTTTTATAAGTGAATAATAATAACTGTCGGTTATTTTTATAATTGATAAAACCAATTTTAAAACTTACGCATGAAAAAATAAACTTGAGTCGCTAGAACAAATTCATGCTATTATAAAAGTTCAAAATTTCATTTATAATTTTAATGCATAACTGTTGTTCTAAACACTTCAATTTACATTAAAATTAACAAGTATAGTCTATGTGAGCAAAACAAAAGTTCAAGCACAAAGTCAAAATTAGAATAAAAAAAAAATACATATATGCTTGACATGCTCATATAGGCTCAATACTTTATCACTTCACATGAAATTTGTTGCAACGTATTGCTTAAACATGTCACAACGACAAACAAACAAATTCATGAAAACAAGTCGAATGAAAAACCCCAAATTACAAATTTGGGGTTTAACGGTTCAAAAATCCCCCAAATTCAGCCAAGAATGAATGAATTATGGCAAATATGAATAAGGGATGAGATCTACTTCCTTTAGCTACGAAAAACAAGAATATCCGAGCTTTTTAGAGAGAGAAAGAAGCAAAAATCATGAAGGAAGGAGAAAGAAAGAGCGAAATAAATACCGCGCTCAGCGATTTCATTTTACTGACATAAATGTCACGCGCAACTGAATCTGTTGCGCGTGACATGCCAGCGCAACTCAACACGATGCGCGCGCCTAGCCAGTGTGACCCACTGAGTTGCGCGTTGATACTGGTCACTAAAATGACCAGAATCTTGATTTTAATCCGTTTGATCATTTTTAATGGTTTTTGCTCATTATTAGACGTAATGGCGCGCAAATTATCAAAATCTTTTTAAATTTCTTTGCATATTGTAGTTTTTTTTCTTCTTTGTTAGTTTTTTGTATCATTCTTGCATGCACACCGTGCTTTGTACCTTCCCCAAGCATACGTTTTGAACGTTTTTCGTAAGAGTGCCTTAACACGTTCCGTGGTGGTGCTTTACGTAAAAGAACCCCATTGATAGGTTTGTCATTTTACTGTACTGACGTTACAAATGTCCAGGTTTTCTTCTTTTTTCACGTTCAAAACAAAAAGGAAGGCGTTTTCATGCAGCGTTAAAATGCAAATGGCGTATCGTACGACGCAAAATTGTACGGCGTAGGTGTTGCGTAAAATTTCACTTAAGCCCAAGCTTTGCAAGATCTACCTCTCGGAATTAAAAGGTAGAGAATTACTGTAGGCGTTAGCTCACGACTCGACAGGCACGCCGAACCATTAGGAACAGGCACTTCTTGAATGGGAGCAAATATAGCAGTTAGTGCGCTTACTAACTTACCGGAGAGTTAGGGTATCGAAATACCCCCTGTATAAAGAAGCGACGAGACGATGTCGCACCTATGTAGTCACGTTCCATCAGTCCTGAGACACGTGTACTCATCTTGTGGACAAAACAGCTAAGAGACTTGCTGACTTTCTTCCCTCTCACCGGATTTGGATATATGCCTACAGTCTTGAGAAATGTATTTCTATATTGTCGACATCCACCTCGAATACCGGACCATTTCTGCTCGAATACCGAAAACCCCTTTTAATCTTTTTTACTTTGTTAAAGTCAGGCTAAAGTTTCAATGACATATCGAGGGACTTTAGACCAACAATGACACGATTGAGAGGACATCTTCCCGTTTTATCCTTTTAAAACTGATCTCTTCTCATGACTTGACATCACCCAGAACACCTTTACTTGTAAAAGCGTTCTACAATTGCAAAAGATCAATCTAGATTCTTTAGCGCGTTAAGATTAGGAAATACTTTTTTCTAGCCTTAATAGCTACTTGTTTCAAACACATAGCGAACCCAGGATTGTTTCGACATTCTTAAACATTACTGAAAGATTCTCTATCCTTAGAGAACTTCGCAGAATGAGTCTCGGTTTTATTTCCTTAACTACTTTGATCATCGTCTATTCTAGACTAGATCAAAGTGGGGGCTAACTGTAGAGATTTACTTTTGGCCTCCGGTCCCTACAGGAAATGCAATGAC